TTAAGTTAAGTTGTCGCAAGCGGGTTTTTCTTGTTTCTTGTGAATTTGGTCTTAAATTTTTATTTCAACTGGCATTAAAAACTCTGAAAAACTCTTGAATTTAACTTGCCTTATGCTGTAGGAACCCTGTATATAGCACCATGGAGTCCTTGCTGTGAGGGACAGCACTATATCTGTAGTTCAGGCAGTCGCAGTGGAAGACGGGGACTCACTACAACCCCAAACATGGATACCAAAATGACTAAAATACCAATATCTTCTGATGCACATATACAGCACTTGTTGTTTTATCTATACATGTAATTTTGATAGTTGTAGCAGCTATTCAAAATGGCCCTTCCCAGTCAAATGCCAACCGAATGGCAGCCAACTTCCAGCCCCTGGAGTGTCCCCTTCCTTCTCCTGGGAATGCATATTTTTGTACTTTGACTCAAACCTTTCACTGAATTACAGGGTCTGACCAGGAGATGACGCCTCTCTTTAGATCTTCATGTCCACAAATCATGACAAAAAGAATAATTTACTCCAAATTTTGCTAAAATTAATTGTAGGGTACCAGCCAAGGGCCCATCAAGGAAAGTGGGGACATTTGAATGGCTACTGCAGTTGATATATTCCAATATTGTGATAATGTATTGTGACCTAAAAATTGGGACATGTATCGTATCGTACCACCTATGTCCATACTCACCCCTAGATCCCCTTAACAGAAATCTTGCAGCAAGTAAAGGTTTGTCATCTCTGCTTTGGTTCTGATTAGCGTCACCATTCTGTTGTACGCGAGCAGCTTAGACAAAAGCTAATATTCTCTTTGGTCAGTCAATGCCACCTTAAAGCTTCTCAAACCAGATCTTTCAACATTTGCCCCAGTCAAGAAATCAAGGCTCCCTTCAGACCAGGGCTGCAACTAACGGTTAATATGTCGATTATTTTTTAGATTAATAATCAGATTGCCAAAGGAATTCTGGTTAGAGCAAGATTTTTCATCTTAAATGCAACATTTTATATATTTTTTTTTACAATTTTGATATATTTGCTGGTTTAAGTGGGTCACTCTGTTAGATAAAAGCATATTTTACATGCTCTATAGTCCATTAAATGATTATTGAAATACCAAATTAGTTAAAGATTATTTCAATAATTGATTAATATGACTGTTTCAGCCCTACGTCATATATACGTTCTTGGCTCGCTATCAGAGCTGCGCTGCTAACTAAAGCCATAATAAAACCTCTTCTGAGTTAACTTCCAACACCTACCCCCACCCTATTTTTTCCCCTGCCCTCATTGAATCTACATGGTTCCTGTGGGTGACTTTTTTTTGAGATTTCAAACGGTGAGTTTAGCTGAAAGATGTGGGATTTCCATGTCTGTACCTGAGAAACTTCCTGCTCAGAAGCGGTCACATGGACTGGGTTAGTTAATTCTGCCTCAACCTCAGGTTGTCTTCATCACTCATACATGTTAAATGTCTTCCTGTTGCAGAAAGGCTTTTTGATGTCAGAATAACTTTGTAGATGTCCAAACTACTTATTCGCTTTAAAAAAGAATATAAGTTTAATGTGATAATTGAAAGATTTGTAGATTATCCGGCTCATTAGGACTTTTATTCATGCTGAGTTTCAAAGGAAGAAAAGCACAAACTGCTACGCCTGGTTTGTATATAGCTTCTAGGGTGAGATTCTACTTTGCAAGAATATATTAAGGCCGTAAAAAGATCTAACCTTACTGTTGTCCTTTGATTTGAACAGAAGGAATCGAGCTCCTACCTTCCAGGAAACAACGCAGGGGGGGAGGACGAAGAGGAGGAAGAGGACGACGATGAAGACGACGAGTACGAGAGCCGATCTTGGAGACGATAAGACAGATTTGTCCCTGCATGCCCTCCAGTGGATTCTGTTCTTTTCTCTCCTGCATACAAGGAAACTGTTATTTTGGGTTGTTTTTTTATTTCTTTACATTACTTTTAGACTTGAATTAATGGAAAACATCTTTAGTTTTTCAGAGGGTCGTTAGTTTTTTTTAGCCCTCAGTGAAACATGTAGAACGTCTCACTTCTGCTGAGAGTGATAAATGTTTTGTTCTTATAGATGGAAAACAAATCTATGTATGTTTTAGTGTGCTTATCAAATGATTAATATCAGTAATGCACAACATTTGTGTCTACTGTGAATAGGTATTTTTATACATACTGTATTTAAGCTCTTTTTCTCACCAGTTTTTTGTATAAAACAAAAGAAATGAAACGATCTCACCCTCACTTCAGGGACAGTCATTCCATCACCAGTAGAAGGCTTTCTATTGCTTCCAGAGAGATTATTTTTCCACCACATGGATAAACTGTGTTGTTCTTGGTATGGTTTCCACTTTCACTTTACTCTCAGTGTAACTTTCGTTCGGTAAAACTTAGTTCCAAAATTGAAGAATTGATCAGATATATTTTAACTCGCCCAACACTTTTAGGTGAGTGCAGGCGCTGAGCGATCCCGGCGTAGTTGATCAGTGTTTACAAATAACAGTCTCTGTGTCAACCTGACAGTTTTGTAGCATATATCCTGATTTTCCCCACCTTTTTTTCCCCCGATGTGAAAAAACACGCATTTAAGAGGGTGTAAATGTCTCGCTTTTTGAACTAAGGCTCCAACATTTCCAAAATATGACATCCATAGACAGGTGTTTGAATGTAGTACTTAACAGTTGATTTTATGATAAAAGAAAATATGTGTGTAATTTCTTTGCCTTAAACTATCAGCGGATCGCTGAGTTTTTACAGGATTTGTGATTTACTTTTGTAAATTTTGTAAATGAAGAGAAATTACTGTTAAGATTTGCATCTTTTTTTGTTGTTTTTTTTTTTTCTCTTAAATGGCAGGATTGTATCAGTAGAAGAGTTCAAACAAGTGCACAGTTTAGAATATGAGTTGGACAGTCTTCATTTTTACCCTTCATCTAAGTAAAAACTTTGCTCTAAAGAAGCTCTCTGAGCTGCTCTCAGTTAAAACACTCTTTTTAAAGACCTCCAAGTCGTTCAGCACAGCGTAACGTTTTGTTTTTTTGCATAAAGTGCAGCGCTAGTGTTGTAGTCTACACCACACCAAGCCAGAAAGAGTACCAAGACAAGGTCAAGACCTTATATGGACTTGTCTTGGTTTGTGTGGTCTTGATTACACCACTATGCAGCGCTGCCGCATGTTGTCAGTGTTGGTTTTCTAGCTGGATAAAGGAAGATTTTGCCCCGTTTTTGCGTTTTTTAACCTTTTCTGTGATGCAGAGTTATTAGAATGGGAGCTCAGTTTGTTTTTTGTTTTTTTATACATTAACTCAGTAAGATTGCAATACCCCTACAACAAATTGTTTACATTCAGCTTCCTAGAACTAACTTGGTCGACCAGTAAAGACAGAATGAAGCCAAATTAAAGGTGAGATTAATTTATTAGCAGGTATATTTCCTGCATGTAAATACATTTAGCTCCAGAGCGGCGGTATCACTTAAGAGGATGGGAAACTGTTTCAAACAAGTTTGTCAGTCTCGGTGAGAGATTAATACGTTTCATTGTAGACCTTTCCACTTTGCCACAGAGGTTTGTCATTTTTGTTTTTTCTTTAATTATCTAAAATACAGATTCAGAGTGTCACTCAGTTTCTGTTCCAACTTCTGTTATGCTATCACTCAATAGTGTACAAATGTAAAATGTGTATTGGATAACAGTTTTGGATTTGTTACTGTTTATATTTGCAGGATGTGTGTGTATTTTTTTTTTCATGTATTTTATTTGTATAAAATTGATTTATAATTTACTAGCATGTTTGCTTTTGCCAATAAAGACAAAGGAATGGGGTGCTTGTAAGATAATACCAAAAAAAACTAAATATAAATAATTGGATTGGGAAAAAAAAAAACAATCTTAAAAAAATTGAGGAGAAAAAAATTAGAATATTGGCCACAGACAAAAAAAAAAAAAAAAAAGATTCAAGCAAAAGCATTCCAGAAAACTATTCCCTTTAAACTGATGAGTGGTCTCCTTTTGTTCATGTGTGTATTTTCCTTTATGTGTGCTTCTCTTGGTGCAGTTCTTGCTATTCTCGCACAGGTGTGGACATATTCCCAATTTTATTCTTGAGATGCAGTTTAACATGGCACATTGCATCTGGCATGGACTTTAGCTATCCCCTTTGGCTGCAATTACAGCCTCTAATATTTTTAGTATGGTGCCACAGCCTTAGCACACCTATATTTAGGCAATTCGACCCATTGTTCTTAGCAGTGCACCTAAAACTACCATGTTGAAAGTAAGAGGGAAGCTACTTCGTTTGATGTTTATACAAGATAATACTATTAATATAATGTGACTTTTCTAGAGAATCATTATACAGTTATTTTATAAAGGGGTTTCCACAGTCTTGCATAATTTCAGAATTCCCTGACTTTTAACTGACTCAGGATTAGTTTTCCCTGACAAAATAAATGCAGCCACAAGACAATAACATAACAGGCCACCAATTTAACAATTTGGGTCATCCTGCTAAATAAATCGGTCATTGCCCTACTCTAAGGTCAAGAGCACTCTGTCTTATTTAGGATCTTAGCCAGGATTTCTATCTTCATAACTGCATTCATCTTCCATTTTATCCTAACTGCCTTGCCAGTTCCTTTTGCAAAAGAAGTCTATCCCCATAGCATGCTACTGCCACCACAGTGCCTCGCTGCTGGGATGGCGTTGACCTGATGATGAGCAGTATCTGGTTTCCTGAAACTTCAGTTTGGTCAACTATGCGACCTGATGTAGGTGAGTTCCTTTCTTAACTGTCCAATCAGCTTAAAGGTATAGTGGAGGATGTTCTTCCGGGTGTATCATCAAAATAAGTGGTCCTTCTAATTGTCAGTCATTCTGCTTATATGTTTACGTAAGGCCGTCCTACGTGCTTGTCCCCATTTTAAAGTAACAGTGGTGAGTAACATAGTGAAAAAATTGAAACTCTTTTGGAAAGAAAGCTTGTATGAGTGATGCAAACAGCAACTTTTAAACACAGACTGCATGAAGAGAAATGGGCTTGTGCATGCACTTGCAGGAGTTTAATAGGCATTCCCTCTCAGGAGCGGGTAAAAGGTTGTGCATGTGCGTTTTTTTTTAAGTGGAGAGGGCGGGTTTTTTCAAAAATTCCCGGAAATCCTCCACTATACCTTTTAATTTACCACAAATTATTGTTACCGTTTGGAATAAGGCTGTTAGACAAACTTAATGTGGAAGACGTGACACTCTGTGAATACTTTTTTAATGTACAGCAATTTTAAAAGCACTGAAATGACATTTGAATTTGACTCAAGTCATATAGGATTACTGGGTTGCTGAGTTGTTTTACTTTTAAATATATAAATTTTATTTATTTTTGAAACCTATAAACACTTCAGACCACACTTTTTCTCTGCTCATCCAGAGGAATGGAAACTCAAAACAAAGGCTGCAGTATTACAAGGCACATTCACAAGATTACCTCATTAGTACGGTATATAGAGTGCAATAGAAATAATAGTTGATCAGTAAAACGCAAAAAGGGTGTGACTGTGAATAGCAAATAAAAAAAATCTTAAAAACACATGAAAAACTATTTATAAATTTAATTCATTGTAAAAAAAAAAAAGAAAAAAAAAGCCAGTGCAAAAATACAAGCTTTTACATTGATTAAAATGGGTCACTATTATCAGTTACATATTTTAAGGATAGACAAGTCAATCTGTATAGTTCAATTCAGTACAAAGACAATTCTGAGTGCTTTAGGTAAATCAGAGTAAAAAAAAGTAAAGATTAAAAACATGATTAAAAATTGGTAGTAGAACAAATAAAACAGTCGGACCACAAACTTAAACTAATAATACCCCAGTTAACAGGTTCTTCAACAGCCAAAGGCAGCTCTAAACAAATGTGTTTATCTTTGACTTAAGAGAAGTCAGGCTTTCAGCACTTTTAGAGTCTTCTGGGAGTTTGCTGCAGATAAGGGGAGCATGGAAGCTAAATGCTGCTTTTCCATGTTTTGTGCTAGCTATGAGTGAACAGTAGGCTGGACCTAGAAGATACGAGTGGTCTGGGAGGTTGATAAACTGACAATAAATCTGTTATGTATTGACGTGCTGATCTATTAAGTGATTTATAGACTAACGGAAGGATTTTAAAGTCTAGTCTCTGAGCTGCAGGGATCCAAAAAAAGGACTTCAGAACCAGGCTGATGTGTTCTACTTTCTTAGTTCTAGTGAGAACATGGGCAGCAGTGTTTTGGACAAGCAGTCTGACAGACTTTTTAGGAAAACCTATGAAGACACTGTTGCAGTGATCAATTCTACTAAAGATTAATGCATGAATGAGATTTTCTAGATCCTGTTTGGACATTAGTCCTTTAATCCTGGAAATGTCCTACAGGTGATAAAAGACTGACTTAATAACTGTCCTTATGTGCCTCTGAGGGTTGACTAAATTATTCTCAAGTATGTTCTTGGCCTATGCCTTCGGTTGTAATAAGAGGTTTGCTCACAAGGACTTTACAAAGATTTATAAACTTTAGCTTGAGAGTAAGTTACAGGTGAAGGTACATTGTATTGTCAAAATTCTTGTGTCTTCTTACCCAAACATTAACCAGAATAGGATGCAATTGATTTAAAAACAAAACATGAATGTGGTTCTGGCCCACATTTGCAGCTACAATGGCTTCAACCACTCTGGGAAGACTGTCAGTAAGGTTTGAAGGTTGTTTTGGGAGTTTCAAACCATCCCTCCTTAAGGGCAATAGTTCAGACACCAACGGATGACAAACTACTCATTCATGTTATTGTGGACTTTTTTGTGCACAGATGTGTTGGAACTGAAGAGTACATCTTAAAACCATTCCCATAAAGTCAAGGATTATAAGACTGTCTCAAGTGTACTTTTATGCTGCAGCATTCAAAGCTCCTTTAACCTCCCAAACCAAAACATCCAAATGGGTTCTTTATAGAGTTGCAGCATGTTTTTCCTCCTTGCATTAAACCCTTTGCATTCTGTTTGTAAAGTAATGCTATGCAGCTGCTCAGCCAGGAAAATACCTTTTTATTAAGCACTCTATACTTGTGCAGAGCCAATGTGAGGACCAGATGAAATGTGAGAGTCTTTTGATTCCACAAAATTTGGCTATATTGGCTATGAAATTTGGAAAGAGACCATTTTCTTCAAGTTCTGCAGTTAAATATGAAAGTTAATTGTAATTCTATCAGAGCTCTAATCTTGTGATTTTTTTATAAAGGGATTCTTGACAGATTCTTAAGACTGAATGCAGCGATTAAATAACAATTGCTTGTTTAATTTCATTTCATGTTACACAATTTCTCTACACAAAAAGCTTTCAACCTACCCTTCCTTCCTTCCTTCCTTCCTTCCTTCCTTCCTTCCTTCCTTCCTTCCTTCCTTCCTTCCTTCCTTCCTTCCTTCCTTCCTTCCTTCCTATGACCCTCAATAACCTCTCTTAAAAGGTTAAGAATTTCAAGGTGTTAAGAATAGTATGATCCATAAGTATGATCCATTTTTATTACTGTTGAACATCTTAGTTAAAGCAAAATGTAAAGGATGTATAGGTCAAAAAAAGTTTTGTGGAAGTTTAAGAGGGATCTAATCCTAAAAACATGATAGAAATAAAGGTTTTACATTTTTTACATAGAATTTTACATATTCTATATCCCTCCCACTTTACCAATTTATTGAAAAGCTTATTATTAGGTCAGGTAAAATCTGAGTTAAAATCGTGTGTCTATGAACCAAACTACAGATATCACAACAAAAAGACTATGAAAATCCCTAACTATATGACTTATCAGACAGCCCCCAGTCATGACAATCAAAATGCTAATGCTTAACTTTTCCTCCCTGGAATCTAAATTCTAAAATTGCCATTCTACGCATGCAGAAGCATTTTAGAGATGTGTCATGAAGATGTCATGCAGTTTAGTAAAAAAAAATGTTGAAGCTTTCTTTTACAGCATAACAATAAAATGTTAATAATATAGCAAGTCACATTATATTACTAGGTAACAAGAAATTTGATTTGTCAATTACCCAAAAATTAAAGCATATAATTTCAAAGTAATTACCTGCATGTAGTTATTACAATTGTATGTTACTATGTAACAATGTAGAAGTTTGGTGGGTATTTACCATAAGGTTACAACATAATAGTTTCTATTATTGGCCACCACCTACCTACAACTTACAAAGTAAATTGTAACTTATAATAAATAAAGTATTATATAACTGAACTGAAGTTACATATAAATAAGAGTTTAGTTAAGAAGCTTGACTTGCTGTCTTCTAGGTTTGGTTTTCTATTAAATGCCAAGTAATAAACTGCATTTTAGTAGATAAAAACACGTTGATTTATTGCTGTGAAATGTGAAATGACTGACTTACCTGGTAATAGCTGTTTGAAATCTAAGAAGTCTGACTTTACCTTGTTTGCCTAAAATTTGAAGAACAGCACTTACCAAAATTCTCCATAATATGTTTCTTGTTACATAGTAATATACTGTAACCCTGCTATTTTATTACCATGTTATTACATGGGTATTGTTGTACTGTAAAAGAAAGCAATACCAAAAGAATTATATTGAATTCTTATTGCTTCCGATAAAGGACTTTTCTAAACACAAGTTACCTCTGAAACTAATTGAAATACACAAAATATACTTTCATAATAGCGTTTTAGTGCTTAAGGTGGTTATCAATGAAATGTTGACGGACAAGACCTTCATAGTTATTTTCTTCTACTCTATTCATAGTAAAGCACAACTTTATCATGAAACATTTGATTTCTTATTTTCTTTTTGTCACATCTATATGCTGTTCATCTGCAGGACATGCAACAAAGGCTGATAAATCTGAATCCAGCCT